CTCTTTACTCAAAGGAAAGAGTGTGGTGAGCTTCAGTAGGTGAAATGCAGAAAAGTGAAGCTTGTGATGTTGTGGGTTTGGAGTTGTCCCTTCTTTGGAGGGAAGGGAGACAGAATTGGGCACCTGGTTCTCCAGGGCAGCACCGGGACACCTCTGTCTATCCCCAAGCCGTCTAATACCTTAGGCATAGCCTCCTGATATGTAGTATGAATGAAAATAGGCTGCAATTACAAAATATGCCCAGACTTCACTTAGTATTTTTAAAAGGGCAAAATATCTCATTAATAATTTTATATTGATTATATATTAAAATATTACATGTAATATTTTTGATAATTGGGTTAAATAAAATATATAATTAAAATTCGTTCATCCGTTTCTTTTTTTCCCCCCTTTTCAATGTGACTACTAGAAACATTTTTAATTACTTATGTGCATTATAATATATTAACATTGGACAATGTTGGTCTAGATTAACCCTTTCAGTTCCCACATCCAGACACTGATGCTGGAAGGTTCTGTGAGGATTTAATCATTGTTGCTACTCCCCTAGGTCCTACATGCAAGTTGCTCTGTTCCCATGAAATGTGTTCTCCTGGCAGCTTCATTTACTACCACACTCTGCTCTAAGGACAGCATTTCATTTAAGTCCAAATACTTTTTTATTTCCTGCTGAAGAACACATTTTTCTTTTCAGTTGCTTGTCCCATAGCATGCTTAGTAACTCACTTGTCCCAGGACGTGGACACATTTTCCTGGAGGGTAGAGGTTGGTGAGACAAGCTCCCTGGTTTTGCAGATGGTTTCTTATAGCTGGTATTCTTTGGAGAAATTTCTTCTTGTCCTTTTTAAGTTACACTCCACTTTTTTTGAGAAGGGGTGTGTAAATATTTCTTCCCTGGTAGTCAGTTGAAAATTGAATTTGCTATTGTTTCATGTGACAGTGCATACTTTACCCTTGTAAACCACTTCCATTTACAACCTTTGCTTTTTTTTCTTTGGTCATTTTCCTAATGGCTCAGGTTGTTGAAGTTTGAAGTGACTGTGTCTGTTGTTACAGGGATTCAGTTGTACCTCTGCATTTTCTTCCTGCCATCAGATTTGCTCCTTGCCTTCCATGACTTGTTGGTCACCAGACAATACCAGTATTAGGAATTGTGTAGACCCACAACCAAGTAACCTTTGCCCTGGAGAGATCTGCTCTTATCATAAGCAAGCACGTCAGTGAAGCCCTTCACTTGTTAGAGGGCTGGCCTGGTGACGTGCATTGCACGGTCCTTGCCTCTTTGGGCAGTTGTTATTTTTTCTTTTCCCAGCAATACTGACTTATAAGTGTACACACAACTTCCACTCACCAATAGCTACTCACGTTTGTCTCTGCACGTCTGGCTGTTTAAACAGAGGGCGTGAGGCGCAGGCTGCTAGCACTGTGCTTGTCTGAGAGCGCCCAAGCCCACGTTGAACATAGAGAGGGAGCGTGGTCACGGTGACCAGGAGAACACATTGGCTTCTGAAGCACACGCTGCCTGTGCTGGTCCTCGAGACGGGCAGCCGATGGCAGCTGCTGATGTTGACTTCCTTCTTGTCACTGCCCCCACCAGTTGGCTAAGTTTTGTGACTTACACATGAGTTAGTAGAATAAAAAGAGAATGCAAACCATCTAAATAAAACTACCTCTTTCTCCACATGATACCGCTTCCTCAGCAATAGCTTTTGGATTAATGTTTATTTGGAGTTCATTTTTGTAATCCTTTGTCTGTTCATCAGCATTTTATGTCTGATCGGCTTACAGGACTTTGAAAGAACAGTTCATAGGAAATATGAGCATATACCAGTTCTATTCTTGGAAACTCAAATTCCTCATCTATAAAGTGGGAACAGTCATGCATGTATTAGTTACATTTTCACTAACTCACTGAAATGATCAAGTGAAATGTGATGTAATAGGGCTGCCAGATTTAGCATATGAAAAATTCAGGATGCCAACTTAAATTTGAATTTCAGATAAACCAATGTTTTACTATCAGTATGTCCCATTCAGTATTATTCATGGTTTATCTGAAATTCAAATTTAAGTGGGCATCCTGTGTTTAAACTGGCAAACCTAGGCTTTAAACATGCTTACTGTTCTGCTAAGATGAGACAGATATGTTATTCAGTATCATACTGAATGATAATTTCATGTAGTTACAATTATTCATGTCTTTCAAATAACTCTACTATTGGCTTGAATCAGTCTTAAAAGTCTTGCAGGGGCTGTGTCTCTTTCATGAGAAATACTTGTAGTTTTCTGTTTGAGAGAGAAACTACACATGCGTGACACTCAAATTTGTGTCTGTGACGTAATTAGTAGTTGACGTTTTCATGAAAAGGCAGACATTATGAGAGTTTGTGCCCAGCAGTGTGTTTCCTGCTGTCTGTCCTGACTGATCTTGTCTGTCCACACCTCTCTTCTCTCTCCTTGGGGAGGTGAGCTGCAATTGCCAGGAAGTGCCAGTTTTTTTTTTTTTTTTCCTGATCTCAGGATATTACAGAATAATTAAAAAGGTTATATGTATTGTGGCATTTTTTTTCTGCTGATGATTTTGATTGGAGTATTGAATTTCCATTGCGCAGAACGTATGTATAGCTTTATTTTTTATGGCAAACTTTAAGTTAATATTTTATCAGATGAAATCAATTACAGTGATTTTCTTCATTTTATATTTTGTTTGTGACACTTTGGATGGAAATCTGTCCGTATGGAGGAAATAGATGTTTCTTGTTTACCTTCATAGTGACTGATGCCTTAACTTTTACTAAAGATCATACGGGAACAGTATTAATCAGGACTCTTTAGCAAATACAGGAGTATAATGACATTCTTATTTCAGGCAGGGCCTTCCGTCCTGCACTCATTTGTTCGTCTTTTACCCAGCACATAACAACGGTACTTCAAAAGTTCATGGAAAAATTGAATTAAACAATACGAATCCTTCCATGATCTTTTTGAAGACCCCTTGTATTTATGAAGCACCTAATCTCTACCATCTACAACAGTAACCACTACTCATATATCAGAAGACAAAACTCATATGATTCCTACTCCTGTGGAGCTTAAGATCAAGTGTAGAAACCACAAACAAGTAAATTAGTAATTAAAACTGTGGTAAATGATGTAAAAACAGCAACAAAATATGAAAAGCTCTCAGGGACCAGTTAGAGTCCTGCTCCTGTGTTTTCTCACATCAAACAGATGTTTGTTGTTCGGGGTCTCTTATGGTACTGTACTGACCCTCTTCCTGGTGATCTGGGGATCTGTTAACTGACACAACTACTGAGTGACTAGGTGGCAGGTAGAGCATGTGAGGTGGATCCACTGGCCAAAGGGACGATTAATGTCCCAGGTGGGATGGAGCAGGATAGCACGAAATTTCAACATGCTATGCAGAACAACGCACCATTTAAACTTATGGATTGTTTATTTTTGGAATTTTCTATTTAATATTTTTGGACCATGGTTGACTGCAGGTAACTGAAACCACAGAAAGCGAAACTCTGGATAAGGGTGACTACTGTACATGATCCTTCAACCAGTTCATAATCAATAAATGTTCATTAGAGATGTTTCAGACATGCATTTTTTAACAAATTTAGGCTAATACATATATGCATAACTAGCATCAGTCTCTAAGGACTTTCATAGAAATTGAAAAATAATTTCTGTCCAAAGCCTTTAAGATATGATTGATTGATTGATTGATAGGAGGCATTGAAGCCAAATGTTCTTGATTTTACTTCTGGTCTTAGAATAACTTTTTTTAGGGCCGACCCCGTGGCTCACTTGGGAGAGTGCGGTGCTGGGAGTGCTGAGGCTGCGGGTTCGGATCCTATATATGGATGGCCGGTGCGCTCACTGGCTGAGCACAGTGTGGGCGACACCAAGCCAAGGGTTACGATTCCCTTACTGGTCACACACACACAAAAAAAGAATAACTTCTTTTAAGCCTCATTTTCTGTGTTCATAAAATAAGACTCATGATGTTTTGAAACTCAGGATCATGGTGGGTTTTATTCAGTCAGTGCGGTCAGGATGATTCCAGGTACTTGGTGATGGATGTCAGAGGTGCCTCTAGAGGGCTGGGTTTCATGCCCTGGATTTGCAGACTGGCAGCACTGGGAGCCACACGACAGGACACAGGGAGGGCAGCGTGGGTTTCAAGTCTGTCCCCCTGACACAGGTCTTGGCCACTCAGTGCCCCTCACTGGCGTGCTGAAAGAACTCTGCTCCGTGTGCCTCATGGCCTATCTGGGAGTCTGTGTGGTTAAGATGACCCTTGTCCCTAGGCAATGCTCATAGTCAAGCTAATAAATAAGTGCACAGATATGCCCAGTGAGCAGAAAACCTGATGATGGAGTGGGCAGGGCTTGGATCAGGTCAGAAGTGGGTGTTCAAGATCACAAGACCTCGGAAAGCATCCCAAAGAATGAGCACTAGAGAGACAGAGGAAGGAGATGATGCAGCCAGAGGAGGAAGACAGCAGAGAAGGGCGTGCTTGCCTGGCAGGAATGAGAAAGGGCACGGATGGTTGTCCTGCATCCTCGCAGTTGCCAATCACACGTGTTTTCCCTGCTGGGGCAGCAGAGCCTTCACCTCTGACACCAGGAGTCCCAGACCATCCCCTGAAGATTTCTCTCAAAGCTTGCTCCTGGGAGCCACAACAAGGGGTAATATGCTCTCCGTCCTTAAGCCTGCAACTGGAGGAGACAGATGGTGGACTAGTGGCCTCATCCCTGGCTGCCTGAGAGGACAGGGAGAGCTTTTAACGATACTGGTGCCTGGGCCACTTCAGTGATTGCATAGGTCTGGAGTGGGGCCAGGCATCTGCATTTTGCAGAGATGCTCGGAGGACTTCCCTGGCTGCAGATTCACCGTGACGTACTCTGCATTCTCCGCTTAAATGGGGAGTGTCTTTTGAGACCCGCTCACCTTGCTTTCTTCCCACCCTGTTGCTTTCACAGATTACGGCACCATTAAGAAAGTGCGGGCACCCCTGAATCAGACCCTGGGTAGCTGTCTGCTGGAGGAGATCGAGCTCTTCCCTGAGAGGCGGAGGGAGTCCATCAGGAGCCTGCAGATCCTCCACAGCCAGAGCGTCCTGTTCGTGGGCCTGCGGGAGCACGTGGCCAAGATCCCTCTGAAGAGGTGCCACTTCCACCGCATGCGCAGGTAGGGCATCCACGGGGGGCGGGGGGCAGGATGTGCTCGTGTGTGAGGTGGGCCGCACCAGAGAGAGGGTACAGGAGTCAGGAAGCCTTTCAGATTCCCTGTGGTTGAATGACCTCAGGACTTTAACATGTATATGAACCCTGCCTCCCAGGATACAGAGATTTCATGCAGACTAATTTAATGTGTTGAGACTAGCACACCAGTTATATGCAAAGGAAGAGCCACATTGTAACATCCCTAAGCAGTTGTCAGGGTTAAAATACATTATTTAGTGTGTTATAGCACTGAATGATAGTGTTAATATTTAGTGTTCCTGCACTAATCTATTAATCTGGCACAAGTTTACATTTTATTTGTTTTTTTAAACTTCTCAGTATACATTGTGGTTGATTTTTGTGTCCCTTTACCCATTCCTCTTTTCCCCTCCCCCAGCCACTACATCGCAATCTGTTTACTTGTCTTAACAAGTTCAAGGAATTGTTGTGATTGTTGTATCTTTCCTGCCCCCACTACCCTTTATTTGTTTGTGTATCTATCTATCTATCTATCTGTCTGTCTGTCTGTCTGTCTATCTATTTATTTACAGCACCCACAAATAAGTGAGAATATGTGGTATTTCTCTTTCTGTGCCTGACTTGTTTCACTTAATATAATTTTCTCTAGGTTCATCTATGTTGTTGTGAGTGGTAGTATTTCATTCTTTTTTATAGCAGAGTAGTATTCCATTGTGTAGATGTACCAGTGAGTGGTAGTATTTCATTCTTTTTTATAGCAGAGTAGTTTCCATTGTGTAGATGTACCACAGTTTCTTTATCCACTCTTCTGATGATGGACATTTGGGCTGGTTCCAAATCTTGGCTATTGTCAGTAGTGCTGCAATAAACATGGGAGTACAGATATCCCTTCAGCATGATGAATTCCATTCCTCTGTGTATATTCCCAGCAGTGGGATAGCTGGGTCATATGGTAGATCTATCTGCAATTGTTTGAGGGACCTCCATACCATTTTCCATAGAGGTTGCACCATTTTGCAGTCCCACCAACAGTGTATAAGAGTTCCCTTTTCTCCACAACCTCTCGCCAGCATCTATCATTCTCAGTCTTTTGGATATTAGCCATCCTAACTGGAGAGAGATAATATCTCAAAGTGGCTTTGACTTGCATTTCCCAAATGCTGAGTGATGTTGAGCATTTTTTCATGTGTCTGTTGGCCATTCATATATCTTCCTTTGAGAAATGCCTATTCAGCTCCTTTGCCCATTTTCTAATTGGGTTATTTGTTTTTTTGCTGTAAAGTTGTTTAAGTTCCTTGTATATTCTGGATATTAATTCTTTGTCAGATGTATATTTTGCAAATATTTTCTCCCACTCTGTTGGTTGTCTTTTCACTCTGTTGATTGTTTCTTTTGCTGTGCAGAAGTTTTTTAGTTTGATATAATCCCATTTGTTTATTTTTCCTTTGGTTGTGTGTGCTTTTGGGGTCATATTCATGAATTCTGTACCAACTCCTACTTCCTGGAGTGTTTCCCCTATGTTTTCTTTAAGAAGTTTTATTCTTTCAGGATGTATATTTAATTCCTTATTCCATTTTGAGTTGATTTTGGTATATGGTGAGAGGTACAAGTCTAGTTTCATTCTCCTTCATATGAATATCCAGTTTTCCCAGCATCATTTGCTGAGGAGGCAGTCTCTTCCCCAGTGAGTAGACTTGGTGTCTTTGTCAAAGATCAGATGGCTGTAGGTACATGGGTTGATTTCTCGGTTCTCTATTCTATTCTATTGAACCGTGTGTCTGTTTTTATGCTAGTACCATGCTGTTTTGGTTATTATAGCTTTGTAGTATTGTTTAAACTCAGGCAGTGTTATGCCTCCAGCTTTATTGTTTTTGCTCAGGATTGCTTGGGCTATGTGTGGTCTTTTTTTTATTCCATATAAATGTCTGGATAGTTTTTTTCATTTCTGAGAAAAATGTCATTGGAGTTTTGATGGGGATTGCATTGAATCTGTAGAACACTTTGGGTAATATGGACATTTTCATAATGTTAACTCTTCTAATCTAAGAGCATGGGGTATCTTTCCATCTTGTGTCCTCTTTAATTTCTCTCAACAGTGGTTTGTAATTCTCTTCATAGAGATTTTTCACATCCTTGGTTAACTTTATTCCTAAGTATTTTATTTTTTTGTTGGCTATTGTAAATGGGCAGGCTTTCTTGATCTCTTTTTCTGCATGTTCAGTTTTGGAGAATAGAAATGCTACTGATTTGTGTGTTTTGGTTTTATATCCTGCAAATTTGCTGAAATTATTTATCAACTCTTAAAGAGTTTTTTTTTGTAGAGGCTTTAGGCTGTTCAATATATAGGATCATATCATCCACAAACAGGGACAGTTTGACTTCATCTTTTCCAATCTGTATGCACTTTATTTCCTTCTCTCTCTGATTGCTTTGGCCAGTATTTCCAACACTGTGTTGAATGGAAGTGGTGAAAGTGGGCGTCCTCGTCTGGTTCCTGTTCTTCAGGGTGATATTGGCTGTGGGCTTATCATATATGGTTTTAATTGTGTTAAGATACTTTCTGTCCATACCTAACTTGTAGAAAGTCTTTATCATGAATGAATGTTGAATTTTGTCAAATGCTTTTTCAGCATATGTAGGGATGATCATATGGTTTTTGTCTTTGCTTTTATTAATGTGGTGTATCACAATTATTGATTTGCATATGTTAAACCAACCTTCTATCCCTGGGATGAATCCTAGTTGACAATGATGTATAATTTTGTGTGTGTTGCTGAATTCTATTAGCTAGTGTTTTACTGAGGATTTATATATCTGTATTCATCACGGATACTGGCCTGTAGTTTTCTTTTTTTTTTTCCTTTTTGTCTTTTTTCGTGACCGGCAACAGATCGCAACCCTCAGTGTCGCGCCCGTACTGGACCAGGACCGGCAACGGGATCGCAACCCTCGGCGTTGCACCCGCACCTCACTCAGCCAGTGAGCGGCCGGTCTGTATGTGGGATCCGAACCCTCGGCGGGAGCACTGTAGCAGTGCGCCACCAGGCCGGCCCTGGCCTGTAGTTTTCTATTTTGGATGTATCTTTGTCTGGTTTTGGTATCAGGTGATTTTTGCCTCATACTGCTGTACCCCACCAGGCCGGCCCTGGCCTGTAGTTTTCTATTTTGGATGTATCTTTGTCTGGTTTTGGTATCAGGTGATTTTTGCCTCATAGAATGAGTTTTGGAGAATGGCCTCTATTTCAAACTTTTGGAATAGTTTGTGGAGAATTGGTATCAATTCCTCTTTGAAGGTGTGGTAGAACTCTGCAGTAAACCCATCTGGTCCTGGGCTTTTCTTTGTTGGGAGCCTTCTAATAACAGCTTCAATCTCTTTTATTGTAATTGATCTTTTCAGATTTTCTGTATCTTCTTGCCCCAGTTTTGGTTGTTGTATGTGTCCAGAAATGTGTCCATTTCCTCCAGATTTTCAAATTTGTTGGCATAAAGATATTTATAGTAGTCTCTAATGATTCCTTGTATTTCTGAAGTATCAGTTGTAAGTATCAGGGGTTTTTTTTCATTTCTAATTTTTGTTATTTGGGTCTGCTCTCTTCCTTTCTCAGTTAGCCTTGCGAAAGGTTGGTCAATTTTATTTATCTTTTTAAAAAATCAACTTTTTGTTGCATTGATCTTTTGTATCATTTTTTGTATTTATTTTTCATTTAGTTCTGCTCTGATCTTAATTATTTCTTTCCATCTACTAACTGTGAGTTTGGGTTGTTTTTATTTTTCTAGTTCTTTAAGGTGAAGTGTTAGGTTGTTTACTTACCATCTTTGTATTCCTCTGAAGTAAGCATTTAATGCTATAAATTTCCCCTTAGTATTGCTTTTGCAGTATCTCATGGGTTTTGGTATGATGTGCATTATTTTCATTAGTTTCAATAATTTTTTTTGATTTTCTGTTTAATTACTTCTTGGACCCATATGTCATTAAGTAGAATGTTATTTAATTTCCATGTGTTTGTATAGTTTCTAGAGTTTTGTTTGTTATTGATTTCTAATTGTAATCCATTGTGATCTGAAAAAACTTTGTGGAATAGTTCCAATTTTTTTTGAATTTGTTGAGACTTGATTTGTGACCTAACATATGGTCTATCCTGGAGAATGTTCCATGTGCTGATGAGAAGAATGAATATTCTGAGATTGTTGAATGGAATGTTTCGTAGATACCTACCAAGTCCAATTCGTCTAAAGTGTTGTTTAGATCTTGTGTTTCTCTATTGATTTTTTGCCTAGATGATCTGTCTAATGATGGGAGTCGGGTGTTCAGGTTTCCAACAATTATGGTATTAGTGTCTATCTCATTCTTTAGATCTAATAGTTTTTGCTTTATAAATCTGGCTGCTCCAATGTTGGATGTATATATGTTTATGATTGTTATGTCTTCTTGGTGCATAGATACTTTTATCATTATATAGTGGCCTTCTTTATCTCTTTTTATGGTTTTTGGTTTAAAGTCTGTTTTATCAATTATAAGAATAGCTACTCAAGCTCGTTTTTCATTTCTATTGCATGGTGTATCTTTTTCCATCCTTTCACTCTTAGTCTATGTGTGTCATTACAGGTGAGGTGAGTCTCTTGAAGGCAGCCTATTGTTGGGTACATCTTTTCAATCCAGTCAGTCAGTCTGTGTCTTTTGAGTGGGGAATTTAATCCTTTTACATTCAGAGTTATTACTGAAAGATGTTGATTTTCTCCTAGCATTTTATTGATTTTTGTTTAGATGTCTTAAGTATCTTTTGTTCCTTTCTGATTTACTGTTTGTCTTCTGTGTTTGTTGGTTTTTGGGGGTGGTAGATAAACTATTTCTTCTCTTTATTGTTAGCATTTTTGTTTTACTGGTAGATTTTGTTCTTTCTTGAGTATTCATGGCAGTGATGGTTGTTTTTCAGGTATCAAACCCAGTACTCCCTTGAGAATTTCTTCTAAGGCTGTTCGTGTGGT